GGGGGGGGGACAGGAACCCAGTCCGGGTTCTGGCAGCAGGACGGAATGTGCTCTCGGCAGACTGCATGGAAACACCGAAACCAGCCGGAGAGACCCGCTTACATCTGAGAGGAAAACACTTGTTTATCTTGTTTTCTTTTATGTCTGTTGCCTTTTATAAACTTAAAAAAAAAAAAAAACTTATTTAAGTCGCATAAACATCAACTCCCCGATTGAGTTTAATATATTTCAAGAATTAAAACGTGTTTAATGACTAATATCTAGCCATAATGTGGTCATTAAGGTTAACTGTGACTCAGAGCTGGCACAGTTTGGTAAACAAGCTTTACTTTTATTTTTCCGCTGTGGCGCCACCTGCTGGTCAAACCCTGTAAAAACAGCTTGGTTTATTTTACCAGCCGCAGACAGGGGTCGCCAACAGACTCATTTCTTCTAACTAAATTAAGTCAGGTCCTCAGGGCGGATAAATAAATGAATAAATGTTTTTAATCCGTCCAGAGGACATGGCTTTGTTAGATTTTTCTACCTGGATTATTGAGCATGCATCAGGATAGTCTTATTTCTTCTCATTATGAGTTGGTATTAATTCAGATTTAAATTTAATTAGCCTGTTTAGCGTCACATTTTTTATATAATCTGTTTATATAAACAATATTGTGTCGTATGGTATCTTTTGTGCAAAATAAAAGGCTATTGGTGGCGCAGATGTTAGAGAGGGTGGGCCTGTGATGGGTGGGTCGCCCGGTCAACTCTGCACCCATAACATCAAAGTGTGGGTGGAAAAGGTGAAACACCCACACCTGCCTCCACCATCCACGCTGGGCCCATGAGCAAGGCTCTTAGCCCCCACCATCTGCTCCCCGAGCACCCTATATGGCAGCACTCTGCTTCACGTGCACTGGGAAAATGCAGAGAATTAATTTATCCATTGGATATTAATAAAGGACAATAAAATAAAATACTGAGAACTGACTGATTTCTGAGACCTAGTTGTGCAATAAGATCCGGATCTTGAACTTTACTGAATTTGAATACCTGATCACACCCCACCCTGTGGGCTTGAAGTCGCCAGCGGTCCACCAGTTGATCATCTTGAGGACATTTATTTTATTATGTCACAAATAAAAGGGACATTCTGCTTCTTAAGAGATGTTTGTTATGTAAAAAAACAATCGCACCAATTGTAGCGCACCAAACTAACACTTAGAAACACTGATCCTTTCCCCCCTCCACACAGATTGTGACAGCATGGCCATGACTGCAGATGGCTGCATTCAATTCACACGTCACGCGGGCGACGTCCTGCTCAACTTCAACCGGCTCCGCAGCCGAAACCTCCTGACGGACGTCACCATACAGGTGGGCGGTCAGCTGTTTCATGCTCATAAGGCCATCCTGGTGGCCTGCAGGTGCGTGACATCTTTGATGCGACTCAGCAGCTCAACATTCAGATATTGTTTCATACTTCATACATCGTTTCCGTCTTCTACTCCACAGTGGCTTCTTCTATTCTGTGTTCATGCAACCTGAGAACGCCAACCTTGGTGCCATTAGTTTGGACCCCAAAGTGGACCCTAAAGGTTTCTCCCTTCTGCTGGACTTCATGTACACTTCCTGCCTGAACCTTAATGAGAGTCTGGCCTTGGCTACCCTGAACTCAGCCGTCTACCTCCAGATGGAACACGTAGCAGACACCTGCCACAGGTTCATCAAGTCCAGGTAAAGAAAGTCAAACACTCAGTTCAGTTTTTTTATACAGCGCCAACACGCATTGAAACATGCATATACATGTTAAATGACAAATGTTTTTGTAAAAATGGAAAGGGATCTGACCGAGTTTCCCTCTGCAGGCAGCAGTCTCTGAATGTGCAGCTCGAGGAGCTGCAGAACAACTCGTCATATCTGGCTGAAGAAATCTTCAAAAAGTCTGTAGAGGAAAAAGAGCCAGACCTCAGAAGCAACCACTTCTCCAGATCTTCTCCTGTGCAGGAGCGTGCAGGTTACATCCCCAGTGTTTTCAGGGGCATCAACACCACTGGCTCCTACCATGTCTATGGAGACCTTCGTGTCCCTGCTGGGACTCTGGAAGCTTCTCATAAGATGGCGTTCCCCTGCTCCATCATCCAACCGGCAGCAGCTCACGGCAGCCTTCAGGGCCCGGCTGCTCCCATGGAGGGAGACAACGTCCACCACCCGCAGACCGGCTGTCTCAGATTGTCCCCAAGCTGCAGCAAAGGTGTCATTTGTAGTCCCCAGAGCCCTCTCAGGTCTGACTGCCAGCCAAACTCCCCCACTGAATCCAGCAGCAGCATAAACGCAAACATGAGCCTTCAACCTCCAGACTGCCCCAGGTATGCCAAGGCTCGCAACTGGAAGAAGTTCAAGTTCATCGTTATGAACCAGACCTTGGATGAGAACGGGAAGGAGGCTCAGAGAGGCGGTGCAGTGGAGGGGCCAGCGTCCCCCTCACTGAGCCCCTCCAGGAGTGAAGCAGTAGGTGGACACAGTGAGTCCCAGGGAGACGACAGCAGCCACAGGGAGGACACGCCTTCACCTCGGAGTGAGCTCAGCTGCAGCAGCAGGTAGAACCACAAACCCTGCTCACAGTACTGACACGTAGAACTTCAAATACACTGATTCTTCTTCTTCTCTTCTAGCTGTGATCATCTTCATCAGATGGAGACCGCTCATTTATCTCCTGCCTCCTACACTTCAGATGACACCACGAAGACACGCTCAGATTATTCCCCCTCCAGCTGTGGTGAGTGGACTCCAGTTATCCCAGTTTGATGGAGCTTTGCTCTAAAATTTAATAGTTTATTTTTATTTTATTTTTTTATGTCGTCCTGCAGAAAGTCACTACTTCTGCAAAGGATGTGACTCAAAGTTCACAGAGGAAGAGTCGCTGAAAGAGCACATGGTTCAGGTCCACAGTGACAAGCCGTACAAGTGTGACTGCTGCCAGGCCGCCTTCCGCTACAAGGGCAACCTGGCCAGCCACAAAACCGTTCACACCGGTGAGTCTCGGCTCCGTCTCCTCGATCACTCGCTGTCAACAGAGCTGGTTTTTCACTGTCCGATCTGCTTTGTCAACTTCCAGGTGCAAAGCCGTACCGCTGCAACATCTGCGGCGCTCAGTTCAACCGCCCAGCCAACCTGAAGACCCACGCCCGGATCCACTCTGGAGAAAAGCCGTACAAGTGTGAGACATGTGGCTCCAGATTTGTCCAGGTACCAGACATTCAGAGCTTCAGGAAGGCCGCAGTGGAACTGCTGCGTTGGGTTTTAATATTTGGGTTGTCCTCCAGGTGGCCCACCTTCGTGCTCATGTGCTGATCCATACCGGAGAAAAACCGTACCCCTGTGAGATCTGCGGGACGCACTTCCGCCATCTTCAAACGCTCAAGAGCCACATGCGCATCCACACAGGAGAGAAGCCTTATCATGTGAGCCTCCTGCTTCCCCACGCCTTTGTCACCTCCATGTGATGGTTTCATTCTAAAAATGTGTTTCTTTTCTTCAGTGTGAAAAGTGCGACCTCCACTTCAGACACAAGAGTCAGCTCAGGCTTCATCTCCGACAGAAGCACGGCGCCGTCACCAACACCAAGGCTCAGTATCGCAGGTCCCCCAGCAGCACGACTGCAGGACTGGTGGACTCCTGCTGAGCCCGCTGCACTTCACATCTATTTGATTTTGTTTTTACTGAACTCAGAAAAACTTACTCGGTATACATCGGCCTTGTAAGTGATGCTCATGACTTGATGTCAGCTCTGTGGAGTTTCAGACTCCAGGCGTTCAAATGGCAGAATGTACGTTTTGATTGTGAACATGAATCCTCTCATTTTGGGAAATATTGTGACAGAATGTCTGCATTGAGGCAGCCCTCATGTTGAGATAAATGGTTACTCTTTCGTTTCAGTTACTGCAATAGATTTATGTGGTCTTACGCCGTCATATGCTGTTTTTAATGTAAATAAGATAATATATATTTTTCAGATTGCCGTTTGCCGTCGCAGTATAAATATATTTACATTTGGTACGTTTTTGGTGTTCTTTCTCACATGCAGTAGTCACACGAGATTTGTGTTTTGCTGTGTTGTAGTTTGCGGTACGCGTTGTAATATTCAGATTTGTACTGGACAGCAGTTTATTGTACATATCGTGTTTTCAGTCGTTTTACCGTTGGATGTTTTGCACACGTTCATGATGCTGTTATCTGTGTACGCTCATGCAGTTCAACTGAAAAGTTTCCACTTAATGTTCTCGACAGCATGTAAAGCCCATTCCCAGCACTTTTTGTATTTTTATTTATATTTGTAAATTTCCTGTGCTTTTTCTTCTTCTCTGGTGCAGCAATAATCTGTTTCCCCAGCTGGGAACATTCTTTTTTGAATCACGCTTCATGTTACTCGTAAATTAGCACATTTAAAGTGCCTTACATTGAACTTTTCTATCGGCTATTTTCCCAGACTGACAATTAATGCATTTTAATTGTGACCATTTGTTGCCTCCATAGTCACCAACTGCTTGCATGTGTCCTGCGTTGGTACTTGGTCCTGTTGTACAGTAATGTGAGCATTTAACGGTACTATTGGTTTCAAAGCAGACACCAGGCATCAAGCTAGAAACACTCAGGAATATGTAAGCAAATGTCTTTGTAATGGCAGATCCAATATATATATATATATATATATATATATATTTATGAAAATAAAATGTGTATTGTGAAGCACATAATGTTTCACCTGTTCATGTTTTCCAGAGAATCAGTTTCATCACATGAGACTTAAAATATTTGACCAAACTATATGAAAATCCATAGTAACTCATAACTAAATGAAATCAAGTTAATATAATAAATATTCCCACATAATGATGCAAAAATAAACTAGAGAAATTGCATTTACTACAAAAATGCAGTGTGGATGCTTATTGTAAAAGAACTTGTTGGAAAAACAGCTGAAATTAGCTAAAACATGCTGAAATGTAGCTGAACTGGAAGAACAAGCCAAAAAAAGGCAGAAAGAAAACATATTTACTGAATTAGAGTTAAAAAAGTGGAAATGAGCACAGAAAAGTGATAATTAGCTAAAAAAAAGTAAAAATTGCTGAAAACTACTAAAGTCAGAAAGAAGCCTAAGGAAGTGGAGAGCACAGTTGTGCCCAATTAGGTTTAAAGAAGCATAAAACAAAAATAAATAAACTGGAAATTATTTGAAAAAAGCAGAAATTTGGAAAAAAAACAAACAGCTGAGCAGTAGCTAAAGAAGCAGAAAGAAGCTTAAAGTACCAGAAGGAAGTGGAAATAGCACCATTGTACCCAATTAGGCTGAAAGAAGCAGAAATGAGCACAAAAGAGGAAATTATCTAAAAAAAAAAGCAGAGATTTACAAAAAAATTAATTAATTAAAAAAAACAGCTGAATAGTAGCTAAAGAATCAGAAAGAAGCATAAATTACCAGAAGCAAGTGGAGAGAGCACATTTTTGCTGAATTAGTCTGAAAAAAATTTAAATGAGTGCAAAAAATGTGGAATTAGCTGAGAACCTTGAATCCTGACTTAGAATAATCGTTAGTTTTTCAAGGATTCAGTTGTTTTTTTTTTTCATTCATCCTTAAAGGTTGAATGAAAAAAAAAACAACTGAATCCTCGAAAAGCTAAAATTAGCATAAAACAGCTAAATAGTATCTGAAATAGCAGAAAAATGTTGTAATTAGCAGAAATAATCTGAAAGAAACACAAAACAGCTGAAATTATCTGGAAAAAAAAAATTAATTTGCACAAGGAAGCTGAACCAGAACAAAATGTGAAAGGAGCAGTAAAAGGTGAGGAGAGTGGTGGTGCAGAGGATACAGAAGGTGGGCCTGTGATTGGAAGATTGCTGGTTCAACTCCTGTGCCAACATCAAAATGTGGGTGGGATTGGTGAAGCACCCACACCTGTCTCCACCCTCACTTTCCCCACTCTGGGCCCTTGAGCAAGGCCATTAGCTCCCACCATCTGCTCCCCCGAGCGTCCATGGCAGCTCTCTGCTCCACACAGAGGGCTGTGGTAGCTCGGTGGTCTGTGGCTGCATCAGGGCATCCGGTGTAAAAACGATTGCCACGTCTTCGACCCCTGACGAAAGGAGCAGCTGAAAGAAGAACAGCACAAAAATTGTGTAACGAGATAGATGCCGAAAAACATACGGAATAGGGATAGTAACAATAATAAATATAAACGGAATCACAATAGTGTGGATGCTTAATAAGCATTCACACAACGATCACGCTCCATACATTAAGAATGACAAACCACATGCATACATATCTTTTTTTTTTCTCCACATACTTATCACAAAACAACTGCAGGAAACAGTTCAGCCATTTAGAAGTGGAGGTTCTATGGTGAGTATATGCAGAATCAGTGTCTTACCTGTTATCTGGCAGAACTGTGATGAGCTCAGGGGCAGGCCTTTCAAATAATAATAAACGCTTGTGAATAAATCTCACAGTTGTCAATAGTTTAGAGTAAATGTCCTCACAATAATAAAACTTGTATTTCAGCTTTAACGGTTTAAACAGAAATTTATTTAGTGAAGCATTTTATGGGATGCACAGATTTATCTTATATGCTTTTAAATCCTTTGTTTCTTTTATAAGTGATGTCAGTTTTGTTCATGTTTTTACAGAGATGTTGGTACTTATTAAGCTTTTCATCATGTTAACTTAAATAAGTTTCTTCTTTGGATTTTTAAGTGAAAAGTTTTGGTTGTTATTTTGCTCGAGTCACTGTGCAGGAATGTTAAATGAGATTTAAAAAAAAAATCTAATTTCAACATTTATTACAAATGTGAAATTAGACCATATGAATTATTAAAGAAAAGTTGTTGACAGACAAAACTTTGTGTTCGACATCAATAATACAAAAAAATCGAAAAACCACCAGCAGTAATATCTTATTTAATTTCTTTCTGTTCTTATTCTCTTACACGTAAATACACTTTATCTTCAGCTTATTTCCTTTTAGTCAGAATCAGTGGCTCTTACACCGTTTTAAGAGACGTAGATCAAGGTCCAGTTGATTCAAATTGGCTTTTTTATCATCTCTCTTGTTTTTAAGATCGCTTTAAAACAGGAAATACAAATATTTGAAATACCACACTTTCCTCCTCTTTCCAGCGTCATCCAGTAGGTTCTTCTGAGTGGCTGATCATCAGACGGCATTCACAACAAGGAAAACACTGAAACTCACAGGAAGCCCTGCTTAAAAATAAATAAATAGAAATAATTTAGAACTGGAATGCTGAGTTCATGCAGGGAGCCTACATGTTTAAAGTAGCTGGTAGTTTTAGTGTACTATCAGTACTATGAACACATTGATTTATAAAATGGTAAGTTCAAATCTTAAACTGAAGTAGAAAAGGCATTCAAATATACCCATAATGCCTTTTCTGGTAAACAATTTTATGTACTATTAAAAAAGCTGTTAAATGTACATGTTTATTTTCTTTACCCACTTTTTCTTTCTGGGTCTGGGGGAGCTGGTGCCCATCTCCAGCAGTCACTGTGTGAGCAGATGGGGGGGGGACAGTAAGAACAGTTAAATGGTGCCGTGCGCCCCCTGCTGGCTAAACTGGGACTTTGCTAAATGTTGGAATAAACGTTCTTTTTGTTGTTGTATAGTTTGCCTTTATCTTGTGGGTTTATTGCTTATAATTCCGTACAGCACTTTGAGCTGCTTTTAACATGAAGGGTGCTTTATAAATAAAATTGATTGATTGATAAAAGTTTCTCTCCATTGGCTCCGTTAAATTCAGAATAGTTTAAAATCTTACTTCTAACCTACAAAGCTCTCAACAACCTAGCTCCATCTTATATTAGATCTTTTTGCTCCATATTTTCCTAACAGAGCACTTCATTCTCAGACTGCAGGTTTCCTTGTGGTTCCTAAAGCAGAACGAGAGCAAAATCTTTCAGTTATCAGGCTCCTCTCTTGTGGAACCAACTTCCAGTTTCTGTCCGTGACACATTGTCCAGTTTTAAGACTGGCCTTAAGACTCTCCTTTTTGATAAATCCTATAGTTAGGGTTGGCTTGGGTTTCCAGACCTATCCCTTAGTTATGCTGCTATAGGCTGAGACTGCTGGAGGACAAGTTTACCTCATTTCATCAAATAAATACAAATTAATAGTTTTGTATTTGTCGTCATTTCTACGTTTGTTTTGTTTTTTCTTTTTCATCTTTCCTCCTATAGAAAGACCAGCCATTCTGGTCGTTTCTTCTTCCTGTCCTCTCAAACCCAGCTGGTCGAAGCAGATAGCCGCTCATCCTGAGCCTGGCTGGAAGTTTCTTCCTGTTAAAAGGGAGGTTTTCCTTTCCACAGTCTCCTTTGTGCTTGCTCAGAACAGGAGACCATGATGAAATGAAGACTCAACAGTCTGCTGCCTTCATTCCTTAGATAACTTTTACTAAATGGCATTTATAATGTACGTGAATGTTCCTGTTCAGTGCCCTGAGACGACTTCTGTTGTGACTTGGTGCTTTATAAATAAACTAGAATTAAAACTACACACTGTAAAATACATATAAATATTAAAACAATTTCAGAAAGAAAAAAACAAAAACAGAAAATGAACTTGTTTTATCTTTTCAGCTTTATGCATTCTCCTTTAAGAGCATACATGTTTTACAAAACACTCATTTTCATCCACATCATCATAATGTCCCAGAATGAAGCAAATCAAACGTTCTAGTGTCAAATATTGATCTTAACATGTATCCCAGAAACAACTTCTTGAGTCCATCAAACAGAAAGCAAGATGTTTAATCATTTCATTGAGAAGTAGAGATACTTATTGTCTGCTTAGCGAAGAGTCTACTCGGTCCTTCTCACCAGGTCACGCGTGCAACTATTTGGTCTGAAGGTTAATCGATGCTTCTTACGACATGATGATGCTCTGATGACATTAAAGAGAAATGTTTTGCAGTCTGACAAAGAGCCTCTCTGAGCCAGCGATTTACTTCAAACTGAAGCTTTAGACCGAAACTGAGCTTTGAGCTCCACTGAACAAAAACGAGGCGATGATGAGGAGCTGCTGGGCATCTCTTCCTCCCACTCATACCAACACGTGTCACATACACACTCAGTGTCGCATTTACACAAGGCATAGAAACCGAACGTAACCAAACATAAAACCACATAACTACGGACATATAAACCCAATCAAGTAGAATTGCGGTTGAAAAAAAAACCCCCAAAAAAACAAATAAAATCAAAGTAAAACAAAAACGAATGTTGCTGGCAGTTTGGAGAAACCCAAGCTTGATTTTCCAGGACGGCTTTCACTTTTTCAGAAAACCTGGAAGAGAAGCAGAAATTAGTTTCTTCACACTTGAAGGACTTTAACAAAAACTACGTTTAAACTTTAAATAGCATAAATCACATTTAGTTGGTTGCAAAAGTATTCACACACCCAGTATTTTTTTTCTCTGTTTTGCTGCTGCACAACTTGAAATTTAACTAGATGTTAAAATTTCATTAGAAGTAACAGACTTGGACAAAACACTACAGAAATAATAAAAATGTATAAAACTACAAAGTGCTGTGTGCATATGTATTCACCCCCTTTTCCATAGTTGTTAAAGATCCACTAACATCTTAATGTCATAAATACTTGTTCTGATTGACCCAACAATCAACAACAGATTATTGCCTCCAAGTAGTAAGGTCTACCACCGAGTGACATGAAGACCAAGGAACACTCCAAACAGGTCAGAGTCAGAGAAAGTTGTGTAAAAGAATAGATCGGGATTAGGTTAGAAAAATATCATAGAACATTCCACAAAGCTGCATTAACTCCAGGATTTAAAAGCAGCACGCCAATGTCCCTTTCACTGAGATATTTGAATAGTGAATTTTTATAGTTTTCAAGGGCGGCACGGTGGATCATGGTGGTAGAGCAACTGACACTCAGCAAGGTCATTGGATTAAATCCCGGCTGGGGGGCCTTTCTGGGTGGAGTTTGCATGTTCTCTCCGTGCATGCGTAAGTTTTCTCCAGGTTCTCCAGTTTCCTCCCACAGAACAAAAACATGCATGTTAGGCTGATTGGTAACTAAATTGTCTCTAGGCGTGAGTGAGAGAGTGAATGGTTGTTTGTCTCGTTTGTCTCCATGTGTCCCTGTGATGGACTGGAGACCTGTCCAGGGTGTCCCCTGCCTCTCACACAGTGACTGCTGGACATGGACACCGGTGACCCCCACAAACCGAAAAGAAAGAAGTGGATAAAGATAATGGATGGATGGTTCAATTTTTTTGTCAATCATTTCAGGAAGTGAAACTCATGTTCGTTACACAGAGTCAAATGTTTCAAGACTTTTTTCCTTCTTCAGGGGTTACCACAGTGAACCAACTCACAAGAAGACTTGGAAATTGTTTTTTTCCTTCCTGACACAACCACAGACCACCGAGCTACCACAGCCCTCTGTGTGGAGCAGAGAGCTGCTATCTAGGGCGCCGGGGAGAGCAGCTGGTGGGGGTTAAGGGTCTTGCTCAATGGCCCAGGGTCAAATGAGGGTGGAGGCAGGTGTAGGTGCTTGACCAATCCCACCCACATTTTGATGTGAATCTGGAGAGTCAAACCGGCAACCACAGGCTCATCTTCTCTAACATCTGCGCCACCACTCCCTTATTTCAAACCTTTATTTCTTGTCATTTTGATGATTATGTCTTACAAATAATGAAAAAACAAACTTCAGTGTCTCAGAAAATGAGAATATTCCACAACCAGCTTCTGGTACGTTTGTCAGTGTGGGCAGGAGACAAGTCCTGCTGGAAAATTCAATCAGCATCTCCATGAAGATCTTCAGCAGAAGGAAGCATGAAGTCTCCAAATGTCCTGCTAGATGCTGCGTTGACTGTGGACTTCAGAAAACCCAGTGGACCAACACCAGCAGAGGACATGACACCAAACCATCACTGACTGGAAACTTCACGCTGGACTTCAAACAACGTGGATTCTGTTTCTGTCCACTCTTCCTCCAGACTCTGGGACCTTGATTTCCAAATGACGTGAAAATTTACTTTAATCTGAAAAGAGGACGTTGGACCACTGCGTAACAGTCCAGTTCTTTTTGTCCTCAGCAGGTAAGACACTTCTGATGTGGTCTCTGGTTCAGGAGTGGCTGGACTTGAGGATTTGTAGCTCATGTCTGGGAGTAAATCAGCTGATCAGTGTGACACCAGGAGTTTCATACATCCCTCATTACACTACAAACATTATGCTCAGATTGAAGCATGATGATGGCAGCATCATGTGTGGCTGTTTTCCATCAGCAGGGATGAGGAAACTGGTCAGAGCTAATGGTAAAATGGATACAGCACAATACAGAGAAATTCTGAAAGACAGACCTCTGACCCGTCTCAAAACACTGGAAGACTCAAACTTGTCTCACGACCCTCATCACACCGATGAAGCTACATTCCACGGGTTTAAGAAGAAACAACAAAAGGTCCTGGAATGGTCTGAAGTCCAGCTGAGAAGCTCTGGTTTAAATTAAAGATTGCTGGACACAAGGAGCACTCGTTCACCCAGAAGGAGCTGCAGCAGTTTGGCCCTGAAGAACGGACAAGAACTGCAGAGGTTCGATGGACCAAGACCATGGACACAAACCTGAAGAGACCTGATGTCTGATGCATTGTGTTTCTATAAAAGCATTGATGTCAGTGGGGTGAACACATCATTAAAAGTAGTTTTAATGTGGAGCATTTTGTGTGGATCTATTACTTATAATAAAATTGAATATCCATTTAAATTTCAGGTTTAAAAGCAGTAAAAAAAAAAGGGAGAATTACAGGGGAGTGAATACTTTTGCTGTATGCTCTGAATGTTGTGAGCATCTGAAGAAACTCACCTTCTTTGTCTAGAAGGGTTTTAACATCAGCAAACACCTGGAAGAGGACACAAAGTGAACTTGTTTTCAAAATGAAACCCATTTAAAATGTGTTTTTCCTTTTGCATTAGTATTCCTGAAGTTTTCTGTACTTTGGATTATTCTATATACAGCACTTTATAGTCAAAATCTTTTATTTGTGGGCATACATCTGATTGCTTTTAATCACATTTTAACAATCAACTTTTTGTTGTGATGCTGAAAATAAAGCGACAACAATCAGACAAATGTATCTTTATTGCAGTCTAGCCTGTTAGCCTTTATTATATGTTCTACCTCTCTTTCCTACAAACAAGAGATACCGGTAGAACCAGGTGTCTTTTTCTTACCTCGTCTACAGAACGAGAAGCGTCTACAGTGTGCACCTTCCCAAGTTTCTCGTACAGTTCGATGATTGGTCGCGTGGACTGCAGGTAGGTTTGGATTCTGCGTACAGGAGAAACACAGCTGGTTATCGAGGTCAAACCACACAGGGGACTTAAAGGAGACACAAATGAGGTCAAAACACATGTGCAGGTATCCAGCAGCCAGAGAAATGGGTCAGAGGAATCTACACGGACATGTTTTGAGTACACAAAGACAAAACAATTTAAGGTCGTATTCATTCCTTCATGGGATGCAAGAAAGGCTGAGATGATTTGAAGAGAAACGAAGGAGTTTTGGTCAAACCTTAAAAATAACTTCATGTGTGATCTCATGAAGCATCGTGAGATGTCACGCTCATAATACACGTTTGAAACTACTCTCGGCTACTACCACATCTAATTTTAGCTCAGTGTCTCCAAAACTGACTGTGCTGAAGTTATTTTTTAGTTGATTAGCTGTGGGGACTCCAGAAGGTTATCAGGTGTAGATGCACATCCAATAATTACCTTTTGAAAGTTTAGATAAGATCCGTCCAGTGGGCTACGAGGTATTTTGCTAACAAACTGACAGGACTGACACAGCTAAAGCTAAAATTTTAAGCAAAGATCTTATGCAATGAATACTTAAAGCACACGTTGTGAATGACTCACAGCTACAACCCCATAAGCTCAGTACTTGAAAAGCTGCCTCAGTTATGGCAATCTTGATCTTTCCTTAAGTGCGTAGGCTCTGGCAGCCATCTTAAATTAGTGTTAGCTCCTAAATTTAATCAGTTCAAGCTTTATACCCACTGATTGTGCTGCTGTTCGGTGTATTATTTTTATACTACTAGTGCTTAGTGTATTTTTAGTTAACGTTTTTCTTAGTTCATATCTTAGATCTTATTGCTGTTTTTCTTTTACATTTTATACTTTTGTTGGATGTAACTGGGACCCCACCACATGTACCACATGTGATGTGTATGAATAATAAAGAACATTGAATCCTTGAATTATTGTCTGAAAGTTTCATTAGAATACATGCAGCGGTTCGTGAGATGTATTGCTAATAGATAAATACTGATGCCAACAGGTATTGCCAAAGTCTCAAGCACAAAAATATCACACAATGTACGGTGCTTGGACGATGTGTTGGAGAAAACTTTCAGCTACAGCCATACTAAATTTTAGCTCATAATCTGTAAAACTGGACGTTTTAGCTATTTTTGAGTTTAATGTCGCCATCGGGTGATAATCTTGTGCAATAGTCCTATAATTGAAAGCTACAAATATTACCAAGTACGTGTTGGAGGACGGTACCTTTTCTCCAAGCTCTCTCTGTTGTCATCTGTGCGTCCACTGCTCTTCCCTCTTTCTAGACATCTGTCGATGCAAACCTGGACACATAAAAAGACCTCAGTTAAAACTAAGAGGGCAGCTAAAAAACATCTGGAGTGATCTCAGTTTCTGCAACGTACCTCAGTGCTGCAGTCGAAGAAAAGCACAAATTTGACGTTTGCTTGGCCGTCCATGACATGGTTCCATCCCCGAAGGTTGTCCTCATTACGGGGAAAACCATCGATAAGGAAATAGCTCTTACCATCCTTTTGGTTTTCCATAGCCTAACAAACAAAAATAAATAATAAAATGTGATACTAATGAGAACTGAAAGTGATGAGTTAAAAAAAAAACTTGTTATGCAGACAAAATAAAAAGTATGTATGTATAAAAACCCACAAAGCAGCTGTGAAAAGTTTCTGCAGACTTTCTAAACAGACAACAGATGTTCAAACAAGAACTAGAGATGGAAAAATAAGCTTCTAGCTGACTCTCACTCAGTTGGAACAATGTTTATAATCATGCACTGACCCTGGAAATTAAACTAATAAACAAAATGTGGCAATGATCCATACATCTAGTTTCATAATGCAATTTCTTGTGCAAAAGTGAAGACATTTTCTACTTAAAATGCTTGGAACAGAAAGAAATTCCACAAGGGACACATTCACCTAGCTCAAAACACTAAATACCAGGTGCTTTAAGATGTTTAAAAAGTAAAATCACTACAGATAAACTTACTGTAAACCATTTATCAGCTCAGCTAATTAGACACTGAAAGAAAAAAGGAGTAGGTGAACATCCTTTCTAAAGTGCTCTAGGTATTGGTTCCTAATGATTCACAGTAGCAGGATATATGGAAAGCCACAAGGGTCATAAACTGGGCAATTCAAAATGTCTTCTGGCATCTTATAAACACTGTCATGCATCAAAACTTTGACCTGTAGGACACAGTTTATAGTTCAAAAGATGGTACAGTGGTGCTTGAAAGTTTGTGAAGCTTTTAGAATTTTCTACATTTCTACATAAATATGACCTAAAACATCATCAGATTTTCACACAAGTTCTAAAAGTAGATCAAGAGAACCCAGTTAAACAAATGAGACAAAAATATTATACTTGGTCATTTATTTATTGAGGAAAATTATCCAATATTACATATTGAGAGTGGTAAAAACATGTGACCCTTTGTTTCAGTATCTGGTCTCATCCGCCCACAAAACATTCTTCCAACGGTCTTCTGGTTTGTCCACGTGATCTTTAACAAACTGCAGACGAGCAGCCATGTTCTTGTTGGAGAGCAGTGGCTTCCTCGTTCAACCCTGCCATGCACACCATTGTTGTTCAGTGTTCTCCTGATGGTGGACTCATGAACATTACTGTGAGAGAGACCTTCAGTCGATTAGAAGTTACCCTGGGGTCCTTTGTGACCTCGCACACTGTTCCACACCTTGCTCTTGGAGTGATCTTTGTTGGTCCACTACTCCTGGGGAGGGTATCAAGGGTCTTGAATTTCCTCCACTTCTACACAATCTGTCTGACTGTGGACTGGTGGAGTCTAAACTCTTTAGAGATGGTTTTGTAACCTTCTCCAACCTCATGAGCATCAACAATGCTTTATCTGAGCTCCTCAGAAAGCTCCTTTATTCCTGCTGCCATGATCCACTTCCACCACCATGTTGTGGATATCAGACTTTGATAGATCCTGTTCTTTAAATCAAACAGGGTGTCTACTCACACCTGATCATCATCGCATTGATTGAAAACACCTGACTCTAATTTCACCTTCAAGTTAACGGTTAATCCTAGAGGTTCACATACTTTTACCACTCACAAATATGTAATATTGGATCATTTTCATCAATAAATAAATGATCAAGTATAATATTTTGTCTCATTTGTTTAACTGGGTTCTCTTGATCTACTTTTTGGACTTGTATTAATGGTATTTAAAAATATTGAAAATTCTGAAGGCTTCACAAACTTTCAAGCACCACAGTACATTATGAATTATTTTAGTTTAGTGTTTTAGGGCACACACTTTCAGACTAGCCGTTAGCTTGTCAGTCAAGTCAAAATTAAAATCAATTTCTCAAAACGGAGGTTATTTAAAAAGCTCATCAGTCCCGTCAGAATTAAACCATTTCTCCAAACCAAGGCTGTTTTAAGAGCTATCTACAACAGGTAAGATACTGTTTGTAACTTTTACACACACACAAAACACTGCTTCATAATGGCCAGAATATCACCTAAAGATACAAGTGAGGGCAGTGTTGAATGTTGAGATTAGTTAAACCAGATATCCTGAAGTTGCCTTGGACCATGTTAATCCTGATTCATAGAACAGCCTGGATTAGACCCATACCTTCCTGAGGAGGTTGATGGTGATCTCTACAGGTACAATTTTACCCTCTTTGATGTAGGTGTCAATGAGCTGTCCATCTGTTGAATCCTTTCGGTTTCGCTCTGCCCTGAGTAAATCTCCAGCTGACAAATGAGTGCAGCTGTACGTCTAAGAAACGTACACACACACACAAAAACAACAACATTATTAATCAGATTTTCACATGATGCAGCACAGTGGCACAGATTGTCACGTGATGCATAATATTGAGTTTAAAATTAAAAAGGACCATCAAATCAATCCTTAAAAGAATTTCAATGATAGGAATGTGAGCTTTGATTTATTTTTCCTACAATTTGCACTTCAACAAAAACTGAAACTGTAAAGAAGACATCCTGATGCATGCTCAATAATCCAGGTAAAGAAGACTGCGTTTATAGACAGAGAGAGATCATTCTTGCGCCAGCCAGGAAAAGTCGGCCCTTGTGTACCGAATGAAAGCAGCTTCTATGACATTTGTAATTCAGGTCTAACCACTTCCCTTGAAACATGGAAGCCAACACTTAGTAACATCTGTGAAACAGCTCTCCAATTAAGCTCCTGTGAACAATCATTTTATCCAAAGAAAAACGTGATCAGGTAAAATAAACATATTTACTACCTATTTAAAACCCGCCAAACGGAGCTATATAAATACTAGTTTGAATAGATTATACTACTAGAAGGTCAGTAAATTCTCTAAATTAATACTTAAATTCTTAAAGATGACAAGTATCTAAAAGTCATGGAAAAAAAAGATTAGCTTTTTTTTTTAACCTGACAACATCTGACAAACACTTACGACCCCTCATTAGATCTATGGCTCAAGCCTCGTCTGAAATGACCTATAAAAAAAGAAAGGCTGTCCAGAAACTATATTTAAAGAAGCAGGTAGAAAATGTTCATGTCAAATTACATAAATAAACTGACTTAATTTCAGTGGCAACAGCTCTTGCGGAGAGATCGAAAAGTGAAACTATTAATGAATATTATCACTTCTACTAATGAATGTGAATTAAACTACATTTAAAAACCACATCATGGACCAGTCATCAACTGGATCTAGACCTCATCACACCTATAATGTTGCAGCAGCATCGCAATAGAAAATAGTAATCATAAAAACATAAGAAACCTGGAGAAATAATCCTGAAGAATGCTTAGAGATAACAAATTAACATTAACATTTTTTTAAAAAATTGTTGCTTTATTACCAATCATTCGTTGTGATGTGAACTTAGCTATAGACTCAATAAAATTATAAATAAACATGACCGAACCAGAATATATTGAACTGTTTCTCAGATGATCCATAAAGATGAGTCTGTTTGTTGAAGGATGACAGAGCAGCCAAGTGCCCTCCAGATCCGGTCTGACCATTACACAACTGCACCAGTACAGATAAGTCCTTGATAAGGTGACAATATGGAAGAAATGTCGATAAAGACATCCTGCTGGCTCTGCGTCAAGTTCACCAACAGATTGATGGTTATAGCTCATTCATTCATTCAGCTATTGGAGGCTAAAATAATTTCCTCTTAGTCTTATCAGAAAGTACCGCAGCCCAGTTTCTGAAGAGTTCAAACTAATACAATGTTACTTACAGTGAAGCTTCTGTGATTTGATGGTTTAGAAGAGTTAAACTCAATGTTCTGCGCAGCTAACCTGCTAGCTGCCTGGTTGGTTAGCACAGGTTCAGTTTTAGAGGACAACCGGAAGTTAAAGAAATTTAGTCATTTTGCCGTTTATAAAAATGTAACTTACAAGCAAAACCATTCTGGATTTAGCTGAGCAACATTTCATGCCGACATGCTAAACCGCGACGAACAAAACCGGAAAAAGTGTTCTTTCTTTTTTTTTCTCGTACCTCCACAATTTTGGAGCACTGGGTCCCTTTGCCGGCGCCAGGCCCGCCGAGAACAAAGACAACATTCGGCTTCGTCATGAGGGACCTCCGGTTCAACAAGCTCGGCACTCTCTGGAACAGGTTCCCGACCAAACGGCCAAACATAAACTAAAACCCTGAGACCGGTGAATGCGTGTCCGTATCCGTGGACGAGCCAGGCAGGCGACGGCGCTTCCGCTATTGACTTCAGCAACCAATGGGGCTTCGCGTCGTGCTCGTGACGCAATTCTTTAACCACGCCCCCGTCTGCTCGTCCATTTTTTTTTTCAATGCAGAGGTCTGGTTACGCCCCTCCCCTCCCTCCGCTGCCTCTTTCTCTACAGCATCAGCACCTCTACACGGAACCAGGCGAGCCGCCGCTGGAAGAAGATGCTCTCCGGCATGTTCTGCTCGGCAGCTCCAGGACCCACAGCCTGACGATGCGGAGGCTAACCGAGAGACCGACGGTATGCTTTCATTACGTTTATTCTGCCTCGCTGCGTTCATTCATGATGCACCATTCATGCGTCTCCGCGAATGGAAGCCCACCGCGAGGAGAGCATTAAAACAGCGCCGTTGGCTGCCTTTATAGCACGCTTTCTCGCATTTTTTTTTTTTTCCATTTAGGTCAGAGTGATGAAGACCCCTGTTCTGTCTTTCGAGGGCGCCGCGTGAATGTTGGGCTGATACACAAGCGAACAAAAGGCATCCCAACCCTCCTCCTCTGACGCACCTGGCTGCCCTGTCGCCGCCTGACATGACAGCACAGAGCCGGGAGCAGGGCAGCAGGATTAAGGGGCACCGACGTGCGGCCGGACGTGCGGACTCGACTCGGAGCAGAGGACGCGCGGCGGAGAGGCAGCAGCAGCCCGGGGGAGGCCGAATTGCAGTTTCTGCGGACGAGCGCCAAGGGCAGTGCGGCAGTCAGCAGTCAGACCGGGGGGAGGAGGCTGCGGAGATCTGTGATATACTCCCCACTAACTCGAGTCTCCACATCATCCTGAAAATATGATGGTGGATATGCTCCATTTATGATGACTGTGGCTCCCCCCAATCAACATCTTAACTTTTTCCAACCCAACCAATCAGTGATGCTGTGAAGTTAAAGGTAAGGTTTGCTCTCTGGGCAACGGGTGGAGCCCTGAGGGGACTGATGAGCATACTGGCCAGGTATCACTCCCTCCGGTCTTCTCTGGTTCTGCTCCTTCTGCTTGTCACTTGCACTATGGGCTGTATTCAGAGCATCGCCTGCAAGCCCCGTATCAGAAGAGAGAACATTGTGGTGTACGAGGTGTCCGCCTCCATTGATCAGTGTCCCACCATCATTGAGGAGAACTCACCGATCGTGCTCCGTTACAAGACGCCCTACTTCAGGGCTTCAGCAGGAGTTGTGATGCCGCCAGTGCCACGCAATGAAACCTGGGTGGTGGGCTGGATCCAAGCCTGTACCCAGATGGAGTTCTACAACACTTATGGTGACATTGGCATGTAAGTAGTATCACCATCACTGTGGCTATCGTGTCTCAGACATAACATCTAAAGTCTGATCACTGTCCTCCTCATCTTCTGCTGCAGGTCCAGTTGGGAGTTACCAGAGCTCCGAGAGGGTCGGGTCAAAGCCATCAGTGATTCAGATGGCGTCAGCTACCCCTGGTATGGCAACACGACAGAGACAGTGACCCTCACCGGCCCTACATCCAAACCGTCTCGCCTGACAGTCAGCATGAATGATAACTTCTATCCCAGCGTGACCTGGGCAGTCCCCATCAGCAACAGCAACACACCCATGCTGACCCACATCACCAGGGACCAGAGTTTCATCACCTGGCTGGTGGCCATGAACTCAGTCACCAAGGTAAGACTAAATCACAGAGAGAGGCCGGCTGTTTTGGATGTTGAAGAAATGCTTAGTCCAGATTTAAAAGAACATCAGCTGAGCGGTGTATCTGTATCTCATGGACAGACTGATGACATCAGCTCCTCCACTTTTCTCTCCTGGTGTAATGTTACAAATGACTGAATCCTTGCCTTCAGTCCTACAGAAGACAGAGCCTGTCCATTAAACACCAGTCAGTCTGCAGCTCAGAAAACATATTTTAATTTATTGTTTTTAAATTCTAACTGGATATGTATTTATTCTTGCATTTTAATTACCTCCCCCAATAAGGTTAAGTTTAAGCTTTGGTTTGTCTTGTGCCCAAGATAACTCAAATGCTGAAGTTCTCACAAAGAAAAAAAAACCATTTTGGTGGATGTAAGGCTTCTGGTCAGTCTGTGCACAAGATGTTACTGCGTGAATGACCCTAAGGGTCTTGACAGAGGTGTGCACTCTCAGAGCTAGTTCTGCATATTGTGTTGATCAGTTGGCTCAAATTATGGATAATGATTTATTAATAACTGTAAATAACAAGAAGCACATTCAACTGAGTTATTTTTAACTCTTTCTAACTGTACCTCAGTCAGATTGTGTAATTTACACATCATAGCTGGACTAAAGAGCATGCTTTCTTCCTCCTCCAGGAGCGTATTGTGTTGCAAACTGTTCGGTGGCGGATGCGGGTCGACATCGATGTGGATCCAGATATGCCTCTGGGCTCTCGAGCATCACTGGTGGGCCGACCCTACCAGGAGCAGCCACATATCCTCAACTACCAGGAGCCAATTCCCCCCAATGCACTCGGAAGGCCGAACGCCAATGATGCTCAAGTGCTGATGTGGAGGCCGCGGAGAGGGGCACCACTTGTGGTCATACCGCCAAAATAAGAGTCATTGCACTGACAAACATATATAGGTGCTCCTTTAACAGAAAAAAGGTGAAGAAGTTGCGAAGTCTGAGGATTTCCATGTGGCTCCTGTTACAGTTAGCCAAATTGGATGTTACATCCTGGATCTGACACACCTGGCACAGCTGTTTCACCTGGTTTTCTGACACAATGCCAGAAAACACAAGCCTGCAAGTGGCTGTTGTTAAGGACGGTGAATGGTGTCAACGAGAAGGTTTAAACTGCCCAGTGAGCTTTGCCTGCATTTTAGCAAAGAACAAACAGTTTTTAGATGAACCACAGAGGTATTCCCTTCCGAGAAGAACTGCATCCTGCATCCTTATGTAGACCTTTTTTGCATGAGAACGAGGAGACTGAAACAAGTCCCTGAAGATTAAGAATATAATTTGTTTTGTATAACTTCTTACATGAAGACATTTTGACTGGGAACAAAATGCTGCAGCCTTGTTAGACCTCGTCTGTGCCAACTAAGGCCTTCAGCACACTGGACAACAGTTAAAAGATATATTCAGATCCTTTCAAAGAAACTATTATATGAATCTTTTTTTTAGGTTACAATTAAACCCACACATCAAGCAGATTGTATTAAGAGCACCCACTTGGCACAAAAGTCTGGAAGAAGAAATCATATTGTTGCACTTTTTTCTGGACTTTTGCCAATAGACACCAAACCTATATTTTCAGCACACACGCCTCTTGTGCAGGCAGTATTGTATTGAAATGGGTGACAAACCATCAGAGAGATGAGCTGGACCTCTTTCTGCATAAATAAAAAAAGTCAGACATGCTTACGTTACAGTGTAATTGAGTTGGACCACTGCCATACAACGTATTGAAAACAGGAGGGTGATGAGAGTCACGGCTCAAAACAATCACTAGCCAGGTGATGTTGCACAAAGTGTTTTAGAAAATATATGAGGGAATTCACAAGTATTCTTAAAAGGGTAGACTGGTTATTTTTAAAAAAGATAAAGTGCTATATGTTGTATGTTCCCATACAATGGCGAGCAATAGCTCAGAGACACCACGACATGTGGGAATGGAGCCCGAGACTTTCGGGTCCTGGGTCGGCTCCCCTACCTCTACCCCATTTCGGCCCCCAAGATATTCTGCCAAATAGAGAAAACATCAGAGTTTATGCTCAGTAATCCAGATACAAAAGCCATCAAAGTTAAGTCATCTGGAAAGTTTCTTTCTGTTGAAATGCTTTGTCTTTCATCCAAAGGACTTCATCAGTTCAAGGAGCCACAACAAACACAGCATTAAAAGCACCTTTACATAGTGGGTCAGTTTGATGGTGCTCAAGTGGTTTCTGGAGTCCACCCTGCCAACTTGTCTGAGGCAGCCATGGCCAAAGTGGTTCAAGCATAATTCCTGCTCTCTCTGCAAAGCGAGAAAAAGGCACAAGTCTTTCTCCAGGTTAGGGTAATGGCTTGCCAAACTGGGGCCTTCATTCCAGAGTTTTTCCAAGTTTATAGTAAGGCATTTTCACTAAAACGTGTAGAGCTGTGAAAGAACGTTACATTAGCTGATATCAAACCTCTACACTTGCATGACACCATTTAGTTTTTTGCCATTTTCATACCAAACAACATCCATGCCATTAGTTTCCCAGGAGTTTAGGAAACCTTTGGACTAATATGAGAGCCCAAATGTCCCCACTATCGCTTAATGTTGGGAACTGAAGTCACAAGAGCTCGTTTTCCAGAATTTCTTATACGTATTGCATTTTTGTGGAGCAGCACCTCCCACCAGGAGCACTTTTAAGTCTTGCCTTCTCTTTCACACAAAAACATGGTGTTCCATGACCCCTCTCTTAAGCATGAATAACTAATTACAGCAGAACATAAAGCAGATGGATACGGGCTACATGAATGAACAAGAAAAATTTGCGATTTTTAAATTATTTTTTAACAAGGGAAAAATCTTATACATTTACATAGCAGCGGTGGGACTTTTAACTTGCGCTGGGATTAGCCTTTGAGGATGCTGTACTGAGCTTCAACTTCTAGGTTCCTAAATTGTGGCCAATATTTCTTTGCATCGTGATAATGGCAATATGAACATTCTTCAGTTAAAAGCAACAAACTGATGAAAACGAATTGTGTCTTGTTAAAGTGTAGAGGTTTAATATTGGACACCATGGTCTTCAAGTTGCATACCATTTTCAAGAAAGAGTTTAAGAAGTTTAAAAAGCAATTTATTGTATTACAGGCCCTGGTTTAGCTAGTCATTAACCTGGAGTAAAACCTCTACTGATTGATAAAAGGTTTCCTTTGTCCTGGCTTCAGACGGTCCAGTGGCTCATTTTTGGTTCCACAAAGTCACGTGACTCATCCTCCATCTGTGCCTCTCTCCAGGTTCACGTCTCACCTTCCTGTACGCTCTCCACCTCATTGAACACACCCATGCGCGCACACACAAATTCCCAAGTCTTCCCTGAAAATCATAACTATGCAAACCGTTGAATCCATTATAAATTCACCTTTATTCTGCTTTTGATCGTCCGGGGGTTGTTGAATAAAGGCGACTGTGACTACCATATTTATAAAAGCTCAGGGGTTGAAACAGGCCATGTTAATTCAATGCGTCTGTCACAGCACCTCAACTCGCTCAGCCATCTGTTGCTATAGAGACTGGTTTGGTTTTCCAGAGTGCACTGCAACTGGAGCTGAAAAAAATGTGCAAAATATTCATGGGTGTGCCTGGATCTTTGTGATAGAACAAGAGTACACACACACACACAGATACATCAAAGTGTGTGTGTGTGTGTGGATGAAAGACAGGATCAAAGCAGAGCCCAAAATCCATTTTAATCAACTCAAACGTAAATAGCTTTATTTTAAATTTAAATAATGGTTGAACAAGAGCTTGTAACATAAATAAGTAAACAGTGAGCAGTCAAAAAAATAAAATAAAAGCAGCAACGTTCCTTTCCTTTGAGATTTGTCTTATCTGGGATAAAAAGAGCATTCAGCATCTTTGGGCAGAGGTAACTCCTCATTTTCACTGCACGGTAGTTCTTCCCTCCACCACTAGATGAAGTCTTTGCTCGCTCTAATCTCTCAGACATCATCTCAACCATTGGCGTTCCTTCCTGTTTTGTTAATATACCATTTCCTATTTTACATATCACTTTAAAGCACAGGTAAACACTGAAATGAGAGGAAAATGGCATCTGCCTTTGCATGCTGCCAGCATGACTGCCCTTCAGTTCTTTCAAAATGTGCATACACTTTTACTGCTCCGCTGTGTGCTGGCAGGGCAGTTTGGCTCCATTGAGTTTTCTGTAAGTTTAACCTTACCAAAGAAATGCATGTTGAAATAGTTCCTTTTATCTTTTATGAAAAGCAGCATTTTTTTTCAGTAGTCACTTCTGTAGTCAAGTTGTTTCTAGACATCCTGCATTTATAAGTCCCACATGCCGAAGTCATCGCAGCTCACAGAGTCCTGCTCTGTCTTTGCGGGGTGGCTGCCATCTCCCCTCCGTCAGCAGCACAGCCCACCCATCTCCCCGACTACACTTTGATGGCACTGCTGGCAGGTTTTCGCTCGTAGCTGTAAAGAAACGTAGCAGCAATCACCAGCACGGCCCCCCAAAAAAACATCCTGAGGAAGAAGCAGGAACAAATTTACAAGGATAAACTCATAAAGCAACCAAATATTCAGCTCATTTTGCGTTTACAAGATTACCCTGTGGGGTTGAAGTCGTTCAGGAGAAAATAGGAAATGAGCGTGGACATGATGATCGACAGTGAGGTGGCAAACCCTTTGAGAATGTTGTCTGCATATTTAATGACCACGGCGACGACCAGCCCGCCCACAGCCTGCAGACAGACATCACGAGGATTAAAAGCACTCAAAGCACAATAAATAAATTACTGACAAAAAATTACATGCATTAGTTTAATTTTAACTTAATAAATATGCAACCCTAATCCTTAAAAGAAAGATGAGTGCAGAAAAATAAACAAAACAAATGCAAGCATATTGAAAAAGCAGTGACCCACACATTTACCGTATGTCAACTTTTCTTTCATCGCTAACAATATAAAACTGTTCTGTTATATTTAATAACCATTTCTTTATTTAAAGGCTTAAACACATTTTAAGAAGGGAATACATAAAAAAAGGAAGCACGGTGGCGCAGATGGTAGAGATGCCACCTCTCAGCGAGCAGGTCGCTGGTTCAAATCCTGGTCGGGGACCTTTCTGGATAGAGTTTATATGTTCTCTCCGTGCATATGTGGGTTTTCTCCAGGTACTCCGGTTTCCTCCCACAGACCAAAAACATGCATGTTAGGCTGATTGGTAACTCTAAATTGTTCCTAGGTGTGAGAGAGAAAGTGAATGGTTGTTTGTCTCATTTGTCTCCATCTCTGTGATGACTGGAGACCTGTCCAGGGTGTCTCCCACCTCTAGCACAATGACTACTGGACATGGCATGACCAGAAAAAATGGAAAACGCAGGTAAAAATAATGGATGGATGAATGCAGATATGTAAAAAAAAAAGTCAAAACAAACTGAAATATTAAAATATCATTTGTTGCCTTCAAGACCACATAATTAAAAGGGACATCAATGATTTTTTCTGTTTTAAAATGACAATGCAATTGTCAATTTTCTGCGTGAGTCGATGAACAACAGTAGCAAAGTCCTGTTCATGCAGCTCACACAAATCACCACACCAGCTAGTGAACTAGCATGGAAATCACAACAGATTCAAAGTTTTATGTGGTCTCGTCTAAACAGTATGGAAGCCCATTTCTATGGAAGCCCATTTCCATAATGAAAGAAAAAATAAAAGCCCAACAGGAAGTCATAATTTCAAGTTTTAAAGTCATAATTATGAGAATAAAAGTTATAATTTCGACTTTTCAAATTTAATTTTGATGTTTGTCTCTTGCCAGACACCGTGACTCTACAAGGATGCAACGTCCTGTCATAGACAGGCAGTTTTCCTGCATAGCACATGGATTCATTCATTCATTGTATGTCCCTCTGCCTTTGTCAGTCCTTTTAAATAAAGGCATGTACAGGTCCTTCTCAAAAAATTATCATATTGTGATAAAGGTCATTATTTTCCATAATGTAATGATAAAAATGAAACTGTCATATATTTCAGATTCATTGCATACCAACTGAAATATTTCAGATCTTTAATTGTTTTAATACTGATGATTATGGCATACAGCTCATGAAAACCCAAAATGCCTGTCCCAAAAAATTAGCATATCATGAAAAGGTTCTCTAAACAAGCTATTAACCTAACCATCTGAATCAACGACGTAACTCTAAACACCTGTAAAAGATTCCTGAGGCTTTTAAAAACTCCCAGCCTTGTTCATTACTCAAAACCACAATCATGGGTAAGACTGCCGACCTGACTGCTGTCCAGAAGGCCATCATTGACACCCTCAAGCAAGAGGGTAAGACACAGAAAGAAATTGCTGAACGAATAGGCTGTTCCCAGAGTGCTGTATCAAGGCACCTCAGTGGGAAGTCTGTGGGAAGGGAAAAGTGTGGCAGAAAACGCTGCACAACGAGAAGAGGTGACCGGACCCTGAGGAGGATTGTGGAGAAGAGCCGATTCCAGACCTTGGGGAACCTGCGGAAGCAGTGGACTGAGTCTGGAGTAGAAACATCCAGAGCCACCGTGCACAGGCGTGTGCAGGAAATGGACTACAGGTGCCACATTCCCCAGGTCAAGCCACTTTTGAACCAGAAACAGCAGCAGAAGAGCCTGACCTGGGCTACAGAGAAGCAGCACTGGGCTGTTGCTCAGTGGTCCAAAGTACTTTTTTCGGATGAAAGCAAATCTTGCTTGTCATTGCCAGAGTCTGGAGGAAGACTGGGGAGAAGGAAATGCCAAAATGCCAGAAGTCCAGTGTGAAGCACCCACAGTCAGTGATGGTCTGGGGTGCCATGTCAGCTGCTAGTGTTGGTCCACTGTGTTTTATCAAGGGCAGGGTCAATGCAGCTATCAGAGATTTTGGAGCACTTCATGCTTCCATCTGCTGAAAATCTTTATGGAGATGAAGATCTCATTTTTCAGCACGACCTGGCACCTGCTCACAGTGCCAAAACCACTGGTAAATGGTTTACTGACCATGGTATTACTGTGCTCAATTGGCCTGCCAACTCTCCTGACCTGAACCCCATAGAGAACCTGTGGGATATTGTGAAGAGAAAGTTGAGAGACGCAAGACCCAACACTCTGGATGAGCTTAAGGCCGCTATCGAAGCATCCTGGGCCTCCATAACACCTCAGCAGTGCCACAGGCTGATTGCCTCCATGCCACGCCGCATTGAAGCAGTCATTCATGCAAAAGGATTCCCGACCAAGTATTGAGTGCATAACTGAACATGATTATTTGAAGGTTGGCGTTTTTTGTATTAAAAACACTTGTCTTCCATTGGTGGGATGAAATATGCTAATTTTTTGGGACAGGCATTTTGGGTTTTCATGAGCTGTATGCCATAATCATCAGTATTAAAACAATTAAAGACCTGAAATATTTCAGTTGGTGTGCAATGAATCTGAAATATATGAAAGTTTCATTTTTATCATTACATTATGGAAAATAATGACCTTTATCACAATATGCTAATTTTTTGAGAAGGACCTGTATGTATACATCTTTTCATCACCACTTTATATAGCATTTAGTATCGAAGCCCAATTCCGTTATGAAATAAAAGCCCAACAGGAAGTCATAAGTGAGTTTTAAAGTCATAATTATACTTTAAAAGTCAAAATTATGACTTTAAAACTTATTATTATAAATTTATTCTCATAAATATGACTTTAAAACTCAAAATTATGACTTATTTTCACAGTTACGACTTTAAAACTCATAATTATGACTTTTATTCTCATAATTATTACTTTAAAACTCAAAATTATGACTTTCTGTGGGGATTTTATTTTTTCTTTCATGGCGGAAATGGGCTTCCATACAATAGTGATTGTCATCACAATGTTGTAGTAACTTTTTCACAATCAACATCAAAAAATCTATAACATTTCCAATAAATTGTTCATGGAGTCTTCGATATACAGTAGTCACTCACTACTTCACGGTTCATTTTTCGTGGACTCGCTCTATCGCGGTTTTTCAAAATAAGATTGGACGTGACACACAATTTGCTGATTGATGAGCTGCACGATCGGCATGAAAATTTATTTAAAATAAATTATTTAAAATTATTTAGCGCCTGCTGCACATTTGTGCAGCCCACACTGCAGGATAAACTTCCTGCTGCAGCTGATCAGCTGTTCTCCGTGCAGAGCAGAGAAGTGGGCGTGGTCGAGAACACTCTTTTAGAGTGTTTAGAGTTTAGAAACATTGTTTAGAATATTGCAAGAGTGTGGGAAGGGTTTCAAACACCTTTAGTATATTCACTATAATATATATATATATATATATATATATATATATATATATATATATATATGTATACACACACACTCTAAAATAAGCTACTACTTACTACTTGTACTACTATACGAGGGACTACTGTATTCAAATTAGCTGTTAGCTCATCAGTCCTGTCAGAATTAAACCATTTCTCCAAACCAAGACTGTTTTAAGAGCTATCTACAACAGGTAAGATATTAGTTCTCCACAAAACCACTTCAAAATTGCTGGCCTATCCTTTTAACTCGTTCTCACTAGACAATGCGGGGAAAATTTAGAAATATAAAATGGGACAATAATGACTGCACTGTTGCACCGTTTGAGATGTGACTGCAGGAAGAACGGGACAAAACAGCAGCCGGCACTTCATCGGTCAGTGTGCACACTGCCAGAGCAGCACGAGCGATGAAAGAGGGAACAGCAAAATTGCAAAGTAGTCACATCTTTACTGTTCCACCTTGATTTAAATTTGTGTTGCAGATCTGACATGCAACAGAAAACGGCATGGCAGGCAGGACAAAACCACAAATACATAAATATTTGAGCTGTCTGGATCAAGTAAAAGTCAAAGTAAATGTAAGAATTGTGCATTTTCTATTTCGTTTACTGCAGCATTCCAGCTTTGTCTGATGTTGGAGCTGTAAAAAATGATCCAAAACTCAGAATAATCAAAGTGAACAAACCTGCAGGACAACAACTGCACAGGTGATGATATTAAAGCCCTGAAACATCCCCGACTTTCTTATACTCTGGCCATCGTACACCATCATTCCTAAAAATCCAAAAACAAAGCTAAACAGACCTGCAAGAGAATAAAAAACAAGACAGCAGAGAGGTTAGAAATGATTCAGCTGGACATATTATTTCACTGCTCACAGAAACGTGACTGAAACTTTGTCGACTTTAGTCGTCTATGCTGAAACGTTGCTCCAAGTGCCAAAATGTTGCACTGCCTGAATGCACTGCCCACAGATATAGAGAACACATGCACACGCACACGCACGCTCAAATTTTAAACAACCTCTGTTTGGAGAATAGAGTGTGATTCTGAGAAAACTGATGACCTAATGGCTAACCTGAACACAGCCAAGACCGAAGTATGCTGCTGCTGTTTTCAAACAACCCAAGTTGCAAAAATGTTGTAGCGGTTCATATGAATGTTTTTTTTTTTTTTAAAACCTTTACACAGTCATCAATTTCTCAGAACATCATTATGTTCCGAGGATCTTTACAAGAGCAAATAGTGCAGCAGCAGCTCGCTGTTCTAGTTTGTGTTTTAGTTATGATCTCTGTAAGGCACGTGTCAAACTCAAGGCTCGGGGGCCAAATGTGGCCCTTGTTAACATCTTACCTGTCCCCCAAGATGATATTTTAAACGTAAAATACTTTTATCACTTTAATTTTTTCAGTAATCTTTGATTATCATGTCAAAAGTGCAAGAAAGAACGTAAAATGAGACCAATCAAACTCTTTTTGAGGAACCTGCAACCAAGAAAAGATGTTGGGTATCTAACTTGAGTTAATTTAGATTTTGAAACTGGCCCTTAGTTTGAGAAACATTTTAATTTTGGCCCCCTTTTGTAAGTGAGTTGGACACCCCCGCAGGTGACTTTGGGAGTCTTGAAAGATGCCTATAAGTAAATAAGTAATTTATTTATTCTTTCAGCTGCTCCAGTCCTCAGGTGTCACCACAGTGAGCTACTTTTAAGTTGGACACCATTCCTGATACAACCACAGACCACCGAGCTACCACAGCCCTCTGTCTGAGTGGAGCAGAGCGCTGCTCTGTACGGCACCCAAGGTGCAGATGGTGGGGGTTAAGGGCCTTGCTCAAGGGCCCAGAGTGGGGCAAATGAGGGTGGAGGCAGGTGTGAGTGTTTCACCTTTCCCACCCACATTTTGAAGTTGTCGGTCCGGGGGATCAAACCGGCCACTGTCTGATCACAGGCTCGCCTTCGCTAACCTCTGCGCCACCGCTCCTCAGAAAGATGCCTATAAATAAAACGTATTATTATTATTCAATTTGAGTTCATAGGAATTTTATATTTCTGCTGAAATTACGGGGTGAACTTGACAGCAGTAGAAGAGTTTAAACATGGAATTGATGACATTTTTGAGACGAAAGGACAGAAAAATCTGCTTTAGAACTGGGTTTGCTCAGACAAGCCATTACTAGCTTTCCAATCTGATCCACATGGATCCACTTCTACAGTGGATCTTGCATTTTTAAAATAGCTAATCACAACAATGTGAAAGAAGTTCATGCAAACACCCTTTTATAAAGTTTTAAGGGACAGTTTGGTCATTTTAAAGTGATGTGTTAAATTGTTATTAATAGCCAGGACCATATCCGATGTGACATCAGTCATGAAGTCTGGAGAAAATTACGTCGTCATCCAGGCTAGGCTAATGACCAGTTAAACGAAGGTCAATTTATCAGTTTGTTTTTTTAAATTTTATAAATAAACTTTATTGAAAACCAGCATACATACGACACTGTTTAGTTGTTGCCGTTTTCTCAATCAAACAACATCTATGTTGCTACACAAATAGATGTCTGCTAAATATCTAGAGTGTGTAAATCCTGTTTTGCCGATGCTGCTGACTGTATCAGTCCGGCTGATCAACACATCTACTCAGTCCAATGTTTGCTCAACTCGCAGCGGTAGAGAAGAGGTAAGTGGCTCTTTGAAGGAAGACTGATCTTGTAGATCTGTATTTTTTTAAGAGCCCTTTAACTTTGAGTGGTAGTGACATCAGTAGGCTGCAAGTGGTGTACGACGTAATGGTCATACGTTGCTATCTGTCAAGTGTGCAACCCCCCCCTCCCCTTTTGAGTGCATGTTCCCCACATAACTGCTAGACTCCTCCCATGTGCCTGTTCTTTATCTCATCAGTGGAAAATCAAAGGCAGAGCGTGTGTGTCTGCATTTGAGGAAGAAAACACGAGGAAATTACGAGGAGGAAAAAACTAAAGAAGAAACGTCTCTCAGTTGACTGTGGTTACATCGTTTCTTTTAAAGAGCCATTAAAACAATTGGATCATTCACAAATGGTACATTTCTACTCAGCAGACCGATACGTCCAGTAGCCTCTCAGCACCAGGATTTACATAGTTTATGACGGGTCAGCACACAGATATATAAACGTGCAACAAGCATGTTATTCAGTTGAAAAAACAGTGACAAACTAAACAAAAGGTGTAACGCAAATAGAAGTTTAATATTAGCTAGTGTCTTTCACAGCAGCAAAGGTGCCTGCTCAGTGGATCCGTGTACCATTCGTTCACTTGTTTTTTCATTGAGAATCTCTTTCATATTTTTTTTTTTGACTTGGACTGTGTCATCACTCCCAGTAAGACAGAGGCTTCTAGTGTTGATTGATTCTACTTTTACTTTCTTGGTTACAAACTTAATAGTTACTATTTAAAATAATTGTTACATTATACACCTTCTTCCTTAGCTTTGAGTTGGTTCAGTTCAGTTAAGCTACTAGCTTTCTAGTCAAACAGCATTCAGTTGTGGAGAGACGGACGATAAACTGTGCTGTAACATTTTTCTTACTATGAATCACATTGAACAGGATTGAATTCAAAATCTTACTTCTAACCTACAAAGCTCTCAACAACCTAGCTCCATCTTATATTACAGATATTATTGTTCCATATTTTCCTAACAGAGCATTTTGCTCTCTGAGTGTAGGCTTACTTGTGGTTCCTAGAGTTTCCAAGATCTTTCAGTTATCAGGCTCCTCTCTTGTGGAACCAACTTCCAGTTTCTGTATGTGAGGCTGACACGTTGTCCAGTTTTAAGACAGGACTTAAGACTTTCCTTTATGATAAATCCTATAGTTAGGGTTGGCTTGGGTTTCCTGAGCTATCCCATAGTTATGCTGCTATAGGCTTAGACTTCTGGAGGACACCCTGACCCCATTTCTTTACTCTGCTGCTGTCTTTACTTACTCTGGTCTACCCGTTTGTATTTGTAATTATTTCGATTTAACATGTGTTTTTGTCTTTCCTTGAATAGATAGTTCACCTGGACCTGCCATTCTGTCGTTGTTCGTCTCTCCTTCATGTCCTCTCAAACTCAGCTGGTCAAAGCAGATGACCACTCGTCCTGAACCTGGTTCTGCTGGAAGTTTCTTCCTGTTAAAAGGGAGTTTTTCCTTTTCACTGTTGCCTTTGTGTTTGCTCAGGATGCGAGACTGTGACAAAGTGAAGATTCAATGCATATGCTGGTTTACTTAGATAGAGAACTTTTACTAAGTGGATTTTTGTGTATATGAATGTTTTTGTTCAGTGCCCTGAGACAACTTCTGTTGTGATTTGGCGCTATATAAATAAACTGAATTGAACTGAATTGAATTGAACAGAGTAAAACTTTGAGTGATATCACAAAATTTAGGAGCACATAATATCCATACATTAATTAAAAAGTAGGATTACAAGTCCTTTGTTTAGTTCTGGGCTTGTGCCAGAGCCCATATGCTGGTGTGCCCACTGTGAGCAAAAAGTGAAAACTTGGTGGTTTCACAACATTATTTACACATGTTTATTCTTTTGTTTTTTTAATAAAAAATTATAGTGCTCTGCCTTCAGCGACTGATGTTATAGGTGATACATTATTGGTGGCTATTCACAGATAATCACTTTAAAAATCACAGCCTAGCCTTCTAACGCTACAGTTAATTTTGGATTAAAAAGGTATTTTGCTAAAATAATTAGGAAATATTACAGCTCCAGCTGTGCCGGAAGTGCTACAGCTGGCTGCTGCTGTTACTATTCACAACTAACGACATTGTTCCACGTACAGTATATAATCATGTAGGCACTGGAAAACTGATGGAGGTGTACGGGTATATAAAATAAAAACTGTATGAACAGCTGTGACATTTTGGACAATAAAGTTTAGGTACAATATTGATTGTTCATAAATTATCCATAAAAATAAACAAACAAATAAAAGTAACATGAAATGACCAAAATGTCCCTTTAAGCTGCTATTGTCTGTGAGGTAACAATATTCCAAATGTTGTAATGCATGACATCACCAAGGGTTTCATTTGCTTTAGATGCAAGCATGGCTGACAGCTTCAGTTGTTACTGGAAGTTTATTTGGCTGAAAGGTTTCCAAAAAAAAAATAATAATAATCTGAGTCTACATGTCACGTCTCACCCTCACCCCCACTACTCCCCCACATCTTCTCTTCTTATTGTTCTTGCATAGTTCACACACAACAATTCAACTGTAAAGAGAAAATGATACGAACTGTTAGTAACAGGGACTCTCATCGGGGTGCTGAACTTGAAAAGCCAGTTTGTATTTTTAGATGCACCTAATAGCGACAGAGTTTGAATCTAGAGATTCGGCTACAGTAGAGGGATCTCACAGAATTTGTAGGATGGTAAGACAAGTTGATGACATATATATATATATACACACCACCTGGAAATGACTGTGTGATTTAAGCAAACAACTACTGGAAAAAACTAATACTACCCCAAATATATCTATAGCAGCTGAAAAATCCATTGACAAAATATGTAAACCTTTTAATTCTTTCAAGGACAGCATATCCTGCCATTCATGCAAGATTTTTAGCTGTTTTGCTCAAACCTTGTGAATGAAGTCGTGTGATCTCATTCGATATTGAACTCTCTCACATGATCTGTTGGGAATGTCTCGTAATTACCACGTTTAAGTTTCAGTTCTGTCTCTGTAAAATTGACAGATAGTAATTGTTGTGTTGACAAAAGTTGTAGTGGCCATTTTGAATGGAGTGGACTCCAAAAATGAGTAAGATGAACATCCATCCATCAATCCATTTTCTTCTGCTTATCCGGGATCGGGTCGCGGGAGTAGCAGCCTAAGTAGGGAGGCCCAGACTTCCTTCTCCCCAGCCACTTGGTCCAGCTCCTTCGGGGGAAGTCCGAGGCAGTACCAGGCCAGCCGAGAAACACAGTCCCTCCAGCGTGTCCTGGGTCTTCCTCTGGGTCTCCTCCCGGTGGGACGTGTCCAGAACACCTCACCAGGGAGGCATCCAGGAGGAATCCTAACCAGATGCCCAAGCCATCTCAACTGGCTTCTCTCGACGTGGAGAAGCAGCGGCTCTACTCCGAATCCCTCCCGGATGATCGAGCTTCTCACCCTATCTCTAAGGGAGAGCCTAGACACCCTGCAGAGAAAACTCATTTTGGCCGCTTGTATCCAAGATCTCGTTCTTTCGGTCACAACCCAAAGCCCATGACCATAGATGAGGGCGAGGGAACATCAAGTCCATTTATTTTTCTCATCACAGGGGTGTTTGGGCTGCACTTTGTCTGGTCCCTCACCTAGGACCTGTCTGCCTTGGGTGACTCTACTAGGGGTGTGAAGTTCCATCTCTGCTGAACCGCAGAACTATAAGCAGTGATGACTTCATGAGATTGCCTGTTTCAGGTTGAGCAAGAGTAGCTCCCCGCTGAAGCCATGGAGCTCAAATGTCCAATGTAAAACTAACTTTACCACGGTTTAATGTGGTGCTATAGCTCTGCAGACATTGCACGTTGCTGCTGTGAAAAGAGATGTCTGGGCCTCCCTGCTCAAGCTGCTGCCCCTGCGACCCGACTTCAGAATAAGCAGAAGATAATGGATGGATGTCTTGCTTTGTGGTGTTTCTAGTGTAAAATACTTTCACACAGCGGACATGTTTCGATGAAAAGTTGGTTAGCTGTTAGCCACAGTGCTACTGCTCAGCCCTCACGTTGTAGCTGGCTGCAAACTATGAAATAGATTTCCTGAATGTGAGGCGGGTCTTATTACTCTGGAAATACATTCCATAGTTTGAAGCAAACATGCATCATGGATCGGAAATCTCTGCAGGTTGGATTGGAAAAATCCGATACGTAAATTATGCTGGTGCCAGAGTTTTAATGAGAGTAGATGGGAGAGATCATATTTCTCCAGTTTTAGCTTTTCTCCATTGGCTCCCTGTCAAATTCAGAATTGAATTCAAAAGCTTACTTCTTACCTACAAAGCTCTCAACAACTTAGCTCCATCCTATATTACAGATCTTATTGTTCCATATTTTCCTAACAGAGCACTTGGCTCTCAGACTGCAGGTTTACTTGTGGTTCCTAGAGTTTCCAAAAGTGTCCTTGATCTTGTGAACAGCTAGTTTTGAATGCCAACAACAAACTGGTTGATCCACTATGAGAGGGTGCTATTTATAAGACTGAGCTGAATACAGCTCCTCGGGCTGAAGAAGTCTTTCAGATGAAAGACGAAATGCTTCTACAATTTTTTGTTTGTTTGTTTTTGAACGTACAGAGGAACTGACTTAACTTTTTTTAGATTTTTCTACCTGGATTTTTGAGCATGCATCAGGATATCTCAGACTGCAGGTGTACTTGCTGTTCCTAAAGTTTCCACAAAGCAGAATGGGAGGCAGAGCTTTCAGTTACCTCTTGTGGAACCAGTGCTTTATCTGAGCCGGATCCTGCCGGAACAAGATCCGGGAACTCTCTCATTTTAACCGGGTGCGTTTCAGCAACTGTTTGCTTGGATCCGGCAACTCAAATCCCTGCCCCGAAATGTCCAAAGTCATTATGCATTTTTATTTTGATTACTTATTAAAAGTACATCGAGAGTTGACGTTACCCTTGGCCCAGTGGACCCAGTTATGGAGTGGCTGTTCTGGACGCACTACGCGCACCAGCTCGCACACATGTTCCTGCCCAGCAGAGACATGGACAGCATGTCCCGCGGGGATGAAGTGTCTTCATCGAACACCTTCAGCAGCGCCCTGCAGACAGCGCAATTTATGCACAGGAGCGTTTCCAGACAGCTCTACAGCGTGCACAACTGCTTTTGTGTCAGAACTCACGCTTACAATTCAGACATAATAAATAAAAAAGCTTACAGTAAAAAAAAAAAAAATAAATACAAAGAGAGAAATGTTTGATGTGTGTTATTCACATTAATCATGTATCAAAACAACGGCACTAATAGGTCAAAAAGACAGCAATCAAAATGTTGAAAAGACAGTCCAATTTACTTTTATGGATGGATGGATGGATGGATGGATGGATGGATGGATGGATGGATG